GAGTGGGCAGGAGGGATGAAAAGTACCTGTTCAAGTCTCTTGCCTAGTTTCATATTGGGTTGCCTGTCTTTTTCTGTCTTATTTGTAAGGGTTCTTTAAATATTGTGGATTTGAGCTCTTTAAGAATTGTGTTACAAGTATCTTCTCCAATTCCGTGATTTGCCTTTTCATACACGTAATGCTTTGTTTATAAACAGAAGTTATTTTAATGTAGTCCAAATTATCAATCTTTTCCTTTATGGTTAGTGCTTTTCATGTCTTGTTCAAGAAATCTTTGTCTACTTCCAAGGTCATGAAGATATTATCCTATATAATCTTCTTAAAACTTTATTGTTTTGCCTTTCACATTAGGCATATAATTTACCTGAAATTGATTTGTGTAGATTTGTGAGGTGGAGTCAAGTTTCTTTTCTTTTTAATTTTTAATTTTTTGGCGGGGTGTGGCTGGCCTGTACCTGGATCCAAACCCTTAACCTTGGTGTTACAACACTGTGTGTGCTCTAACCAACTGAGCTAATCGGCCAGCCCAAGTTTCATTTTTTTACATTGGCATGTCTGATTGACCCATTTTTGTGTTTTTTTTTTTTTTAAGATGACCAGTAAGGGGATCCAAACCCTTGACTTGGTGTTGTCAGCACCACGCTTTCCCAAGTGAGCCAAGCGGCCATCCCTACATAGGGATCCGAACCCATGGCTTCGGTGTCATCAGCATCACACTCTCCCAAGTGAGCCACGGGCCGGCCCTGACCCATTTTCATTGTAGGAAAAACCACCTTTCCCCCACTTCTTTACAAAGACATCTTTGTCATGAATAAAATGTCCAGATTCCTGTGGCTCTGTTTCTGGATTCTCACTTTTGAGCCATTTGTCTTTTTATCTTGCTCCAATTCCATACTGCACTTGTATCATCATCATCATCATCATCATCATTTTACAAATGAAGAAACTGAGGCATAGAGAGGTTAAGTAGCTTGCCCAAGTAAGTAATTTGCTAGTTAATGGCAGAGCTGGAAATTGAACCCAGGGAGTTCGGCTTTGTGGTTCATGCCCTTAATAAGCTTTACGGTTTCTCAAGCTGAAGAGTTCAAACAACAAACACTTTATTTCACTACATCAAAGGAGGCTTTGCGTGAAGTCTTGGAAACAGGAAAGCCGCCGCTGCACACGGCATAGGTCCTGGTGACTAAAGCCACAGACTGAACCCCCGTTTCCCGGTCCCACCACTAGAGGGCGCCGGTAACTTAAACTCGCCAGGGACGTCACTCCCTCCGCTCCCGGTTACGTTTCAACCGGTCAGAAATACTTATCCAAAGCGCACATAGAAAGTTGTCTAATTCAGTCTCGAGGCAGGAGTGTAACAAAGAGAGACAAAAGATCTGTCTTTTTAAATATCTTCAGGAAGAAAGACACCACTCGATTCCTGGCTAATTTGTCTCATCCTGAAAACACCTTATCCTAAGAAGTTTCTCCTTAAATATATTCCTCTTCCTAGCGTAGCTCGGTTCGTTTGTTCTACCTGTAGTGGAACAAATGGCATCCTCATGGAAACCACTCTTCAGAGGTGCTTGTATATAATGAGGTGTATAGTTACGAGGTCAAATCTCAGTTCTTACCTCTCTCAAAGAGATAATAGTACTTGATTACGTTTCACTTCTTGGCAATTGACAGGTTTCTTTGGTCTCTCTTCTTTTCTTTTTTTTTGTTTTGTTTTGTTGTTTTTAACATGACCGGTAAGGAGATCATAACCCTTGACCTGGTGTCAGCACCACACTCTCTCAAGTGAGCTAACCGGCCATCCCTATATAGAGATCCAAACCCGTGGCCTTGGTGTTATCAGCACTGCACTCTCCCAAGTGAGCCACGGGCCGGCCCTTTTGGTCTCTCTTCAATTTTTCTATGTCCCTTTTAAAATGTAAAAACCAAAAGTGGACTTTGCACTCCAGCATTCCATCCAGTGCCAGATTTACTTCCTGATTCTTGAATGTTACACTGTCAATATACCAAAGCAATATGCAATTATTCAATAAAATAATGCAACTTTATCAATTTGATAACACAAACCACAAATAAACACAAAGACAATGACATAGTACTATAGAACATGCTTAATATTTTAAGCTTGACAAAGCATGCGACACTGCACCTCTGCTTTGATGAAAGCTGTATAACTTAGATGTTTATGGACTGTCTAGCAGGCAACATGAAGATAAGAATAATTGATTTGTTAAGTTTGGGGCTTGAGGGTGATTGATGGTCTTTGTTTTTCATTATTGGTATAATTTTGAGGGCTTCTAAAAAATAAGTGAAACCTTTTATTTATTTGTAACTTATGAAGCACACATTACATGTGAGAGCCAGGGTATCGCAAGGTAGACAAAATCAGACACAGATTCTGCTGCTAGAATAAATAGTAGCTGACATAGTATAAGTGCTTACTATGTCCTAAGTACTATTATCACCCCTATTGTATAGGTTAAGAAAGTGAGGAGCAGAGAAGTTAACTAGCTTATCCAAGGTCACACAGAATAAAAGTAGAACAAGAATTGGAACTCAGCCACTCCAATGTGCAAGACCTCAGGGTTTAACCAGTACACCACACTGCCTCTCATGATAGCCTAATAAGATAGAAACGGGATAAATGACATTCAATCACTCATCAAATATTTACTGATCACTTATGACATGTCAAGTACCAGAGTAGGTGCTGGGAACATACAGATAAACAAGACAAGTACAGTCCCTGCCCTAACGGAGCTCAAAGTATATAGATACAGCATTATGGGAGTTCAGAGGAAAAAAAGAGACAAGTATCCATCTTTGAGGTTATTTAGGGGAGATTCACCTCCTTACACTCTCTATTCTGTTCCTGGCAGAGCATCAACCATGTGGCCAGAAGAGGGGATAGGAGAGTGAGGAACACAAAGCCTCAAAAGACAGGTAATGAGAGGTGGTGGCATCTACTTATTCAGCAAACATTTGGAGAGGAGATTCAAAACTAAGGTCAGGGTCAGGTGAGGGGACTGGAGGTCCCTGTCAATCCCAGACTCTAGTCCCTGTTCAACTTTTACTCAAATGATCCTTGAGCATCAAGTGCCAAACACTGAGCTATACTTTGGAAATAGAACTGTAAGTAAGCTATAGCTCCTCCCCTCCAGGAGCTTATACTCTAATGGGGCAGACAGACAATTAGGCAAGAAATTCCAGTACCATGTACTAAGGCCAATGATAAAATGAAGCATGGAATGAGATGGGGCACTTTGCAGGCTGGGGCCAGACAGCAAGAAGGTGGCATCTATACTGAGCAGTGACACAGGGAAAACTGGAGTTAGAAAGGAGGTGGGTTGGGGAGTGTGATCTAGGCTGAGGGGACAGCTCGTTCAAAGGCCTGGAAATGAAAGAGGGCCTAGGATTGCAATGACACTCTGGTTTAATGCCACTAAATTGCTGACCAAATTGCTAAATTCAGTCATTGCTCATTCCCAACTTCAGGAAGGGTTCCAAGCGCGGGTTCAAGGGCCAAACTGAAACAGATTGTTCTCCACCTGATAACCCCAGACTTCTGCCTGACCAGGCCATCTTAGCCACCCTCAACACTTTGTTACTTGTGTTAATAGTTTCTCTTGCTGTTCAGTCACTCAGTCAATCAATAAGCCCTGTGCTAGACTCCGTAAGAATGAGAGGGCTCCACCTGGCTCCCCAGAGGAGGAGTTGGGATAGTGTCTTCCACATCTCTGGATCCCATGCAGCATATAGTTCAGTGCTTTGCACACAATAGTACCATTGCGTCTACTAAACATAGACAAAAAGAAAATAAATTCATCTGACAGCACAATGACAATCTCAACCGCCATCCTCCACATTCCCAGCCCCTACTCCCAAGCCCTCTATCACTGCATATCAGGACACTTCTCCCCTTTCCTTAGACTCTGCCATTTGCAGACTCCAAGGATCTCAGAACAGACCGAAGTAACAGCTTCATGGTTAAAAGCAGAAGTTTCTAAATCAAGATAACCTGGGTGGAATCCTCTTATTAGCTTTATGATATTAAGTCAGTCACTCAACCTGCAACACTGTCAGTGTCCTCCATCGGTAAAATGAGAATAACAGCAGCTCTTTCACTGGGGTTTGTTGAATGAATGTAATCGGACTGAGTTGAGAGCAGTAAATGACAGTCTGCGTAAGGAGATGTTGCTTGGCATATAAAATGCGCTCAATGGGCCGTCCCATGGCTCACTTGGGAGAGTGCGGTGCTGATAACACCAAGGCCACGGGTTCGGATCTCTATACAGAGATGGCCCGTTAGCTCACTTGGGAGAGCGTGGTGCTGACAACACCAAGTCAAGGGTTAAGATCCCCTTACCGGTCATCTTTTAAAAATAAAATAAAATAAAATGCGCTCAATGGGCCGTCCCATGGCTCACTTGGGAGAGTGCGGTGCTGATAACACCAAGGCCACGGGTTCGGATCTCTATACAGAGATGGCCCGTTAGCTCACTTGGGAGAGCGTGGTGCTGACAACACCAAGTCAAGGGTTAAGATCCCCTTACCGGTCATCTTTTAAAAATAAAATAAAATAAAATGCGCTCAATGAATGGCAGCTGTAGTCGAAGGACGCAATGATGTGATAGAATGAAGTGGATGATGGTATTTATGAAGGTGATACCGGAAGGCCGGTTGTCAGTCCTGTAAGTCACTGGTAGAGCCACAGCAACCCCCGCCAGCCCAGGCAGCTTCTTCCAGTGGCAGGCCCTGAACAGGACGCGCGTAAGAGATCCGCTGTCCCTGGAGACTCGGCCCACGCTCCGACCTCCGCGAGGAGCGCCAGCCTGCGTCACTCGCCGGGCTGGCCAGTTCCTCCGGAGCCGGCAGACACGTGGTGGGAACGTGAGGGGGCGGGGCCGGATCACGCGCCCTGGGCCAATCGCCCAGCGGGAGGCGCTCAGCCAATCGCAGAGGGGCTGCAGGGCCCTGAGGGAGGGGCCACAGATTGGAGCGGCGGCGTCATAGGTCACTGGGCGGGCCATGGGCGGGGCCGGCGGCGCCAGCCGGGGCCGAGCGGAGGTGGCCGGAGTAGTCAGTAGTGGTGATGGCGGCGGCTGTGATGACGGCGGCTGCGGCAGTCCCGGCCCCGGCGCCGGCGGCCGGCGCGGATGGCGCCTCGTCAGTGCACTGGTTCCGCAAAGGGCTGCGGCTCCACGACAACCCGGCGCTGCTGGCGGCCATGCGCGGGGCGCGCTGCGTGCGCTGCGTTTACATCCTCGACCCGTGGTTCGCGGCCTCCTCCTCAGTAGGGATCAACCGATGGAGGTAAGGGGTCCGGGGCGGGGTCGCGGGGCCGAGGGACGCAGCCGGGCCTCTGGGACACCCGGCGATCAGCCCGGCCTTTCATCCAGCCACGGCCAGAAGGCCCAGGCCCAGGCGAGGTGGGGCAGGGAGACGGAACAGGCTCGCCAGAGGGGAGAAGCCGGGACTAGGGAAGTAATTAGTCATCCTACTAATGCTGGACCAGGGCTCAACCTCTGACCAAGCGCTTTCACACCGTGTGTTGTCCCCTTTGAACCTCACAACATGCCTGTGAGATAGAAATTGATCCCCGTTGTTCAGATGAGACTCTTGAGCCCTGGTGTCGCAAAGTTGACCTGCCCAAGGACTTGCAGCCAGTGAGTGGCAGAACGGGGACTCCTGGTCTAGAGCTGTTAGGGATGTGCTTTGGGAGGGAAAGAAAGGAGGTTTTGTAGTGTGAGAGCAGGGATGGGTTTCTGCTCCCATTCTTCAAGTGAAGAGCCCTTTGCTGGGCTCCTGAAGGTCAGTCCTAAACCTCTGGTTTGTTTGAATCCGCCCTTTCACCCATCCGGGCTTCCTTCCACCCAGACTGTCCTGCCTGTGGAGGTGTCCAGAGACTCTGGCTTAGCATTAGGTAAGGCCTTCTCCCCTATATCATAGACGAAGTCCCCAAGGGCTTCTTCAGGTAGACACACTTTGTGTCCTGAGCTCCAGAGCAGTGCTTAACACATTTTGAGGAATCTCCTCAGCAGCTATGACCTTGCTAGAAAAGTTAAAAAGGAACCCAACAGAGTGTTACACTCTGCCTCCTCATGAGATGATTTTAAAGGCATTTGAGCCGTTGTAGATTAGATGTTTATGAACTCATGCTCTGAAGTTAGGGAACAGGAAAGTCATGATATCAAGGATCCCTCTTTGATGACTCCCAGAAGGTGGAGTCAACAGGATCCTGGGAAGGGATTAACAGATAGGTAGTTGGTGTATTTCTCTGTGACCAGTATTCAAAACCGAGGAGTTTTGAGACACTACGTATTCATCACTCTTTAAAATGTCCTGCAGCAGTCGCTTGGTTTGTTTGCATCGTTCTGGGGGATGTTTGCTTGTGGCCTTCTTGCACCAAGCAAACAAAGGGCGGGATTATTCCCAGGACATTGTGGCTCTGCGCACATCGTTCTTTTCTCTCCAGGGTGTATACCCTGCTAGGAGAGTGAGTGCTCCTAGCAGTGAGTCTATTACATGCCCCCTCCAGACCCATTTGTATAGAGGGAACAACTAAAGATAGCCCTGTGGAGAATCTGCCCACACTGTTTTCAGTCTGCTCCATTGCTCTGTCTCTGCTCCAGTTTCTATAGATAGAAGGTTGGGTTTGACAGACATCTTCAAATTACCATCCCTAGTATGGACATTAAGCCAAGCCTCAGACTTTGCCCCGCTCCCTTTAGCAGTGTGCCCATTCGAACAGAGTAGATAGAATCCTGCTACCTGCTTGTTACATTGTCACGAAGGAGTTTCTTCTTTTATTGGGTGTTGGGGAGACATTGCATAGGATTGCCTACTCCTTTGTGGTTGTGGGGATTAAAAATCAAGAACAAAAACTCAGTTGCTGATTAAACTCCAGTTTGCTAGGAACTAGGTGTTTATGGATTTTTGTGGATCACCCTTGTGTGATTGTGATTTCAAATGAGTGGAGAAAAGGAATGTGGCAGCTCAGATGCCTAAGTCAAAGCCTGAAGTCAGAGACTATTTACGAATACAGATATTAATTGAGTGATTATTTAATGAGTGCCTAATAATGAACAAGCAGATGTGTATCTGTGCTCCCAGAGCTCCTGGAGCCTACATTTTAGTGGAGAAAGACATGTAAACAACCATAATTGAGTAGAACAAAGTGCCGTGAAAAAAATAAAACTGGGGCAGACTAGAGCAGTGGTTCTCAGTCTGGGCTGCACATTGGAATCACCTAAGGATCTTTTAAAAAATGCCTGGGCCTCCTTCCCCACAATTCTGATTGAATTGTTCTAGGGAAGGGCCTGAGCATTAGGGTTTTTCAAGCTCACATTTCAGCAAAACTGAAAAGCACTGGACCACAAACCTGAGCCTTGCCACCTGGGAAGAGTGTTGCAGTGCACTGGCAGGAAGTCTAATTAGTGTTGGTGTTCAGAAAAAAGAGGTGAAATCACACAAACAGATCGAATATGATTACTGCTCCAGGCCTGGAAACAGACACACTCCTACCACCCCCATCATTCTCTTTGCTCCCTGGATGGATTGAGGGCAGAGCCTCATACTGTTTCGTGACAGGTTTGGGAGTAGAGGAGCGTGCTGGAGCTAGCCATACCTCTGCATAACTACAATATGTGTAACAATGGCTGTTTCTGGATCTGGGAGTGGTCTGGGAGAATTGCACTGCAGCATAAGTCCTACCTCTATAACTGCTTGAATTGCTGCCTCTGAGAACCTTCCCTAGGAAGGGCAGGGACCATCTGCAAGAGGTGGGGGGAGTCAAAGTCTGAGATCTCTATTACCTTCTCGTACCTCCTACACTGACTCCCACGTAGCCTTTTCCTGCAGATGAAATCAGATTAAAATAACCACAAATAGCACTTCCTAAGAGTAAGAGGACAGAGAAAGGCAACCAAGAAATATGTGTATTTATAGGCATAGGAGAAGGCTAGCATGAAAGTGAGAAGTTTATGGGTTAATTGGAGTTATATGAGCCTCAGGACTTTTTTTTCCCAAGCACCAGTTAGCTAAGCAAGCCCTTTGCCATTTTCCCTAGCCCCGCCTTCCCCCAATTTGCTGCATCTGGAAGGAGGTACTGCAGCAAGAACTGAAACAAAAGGAAGATGTGAGCAGCTTCTAAATTTTAAAATGGATACTCAGGGGCTGGCCAGTTAGCTGACTAGTTTAGAGCAAGGTGTCATAACACCAAGGTCAAGAGTTCAGATCTTCGTACTGGCCAGCCACCAAAACCAAAAAATTTTTCAATAAAATAAAATGGATACTTAAAATAGGTCCTTGCACTTTTTCGTTACCTTTCTTTCCCTACTGCAGCGTAGGTAGGTGTTGGCAACATTTCTGTTCACACTATTTAAATCATTTTGTCCCTAGCTATACCTCTTTCAGGAGCTTCAGGGACAGAGGAAGTGGTAGAAATAAAATATGTTCTCTCTCAGCCCATTTTTCTAAGAGTTAGTAAATGAGGTAAGCTGGGAACTCCCCAGAATGTCTGAGGACAAATGTGTCTCTTTTCCCAAACGCTGGGAGCTAGACACTGTTGGACTGTCAGCGTGGGTGGTTCTTCACTGGCACTTGGTCAGCAAGAAGGGGTTGATAATTATACTGGTGAGGAAATTTGAGTTCCTCTGAGCCATTCACACTGGTACCCAAGTGGGGCACTTTACTGTTCTGCTGAGGAAATGTTTTCATTTGCCTAAAAGAGATGAAAACCTCCTTCATCTTTCCCTTTCAACTTTGGAAAGAATAAATATGTTTTTATCTGAATGATACTTAGAAATCAGTCCCTGCCATGGATTGTGGGTTTAGTTTATCCTTTTCCATGGGGCTTAAGCTCCTTTAATTACTTAGGAGAAATTAATTTCTATTACTATCCTATATAGCCAGTCTGCGCAGGCCAATGGTATCATTATGGTTAGATAACCTCGGCATGAGGCAGAAGCACGTGGCCAAGGGCGATCTGGACCCAAAATGAGTTCACTGTCATCCTTCCTCCTTTCTCCCATTAAGAACAAATAAATAAAATATTCAACACAAAATCTGCCATGCCTACAGAAGGTCTTCCCTAAATATAAGTACTTAGCCAAAGGATCTGCCTGTTTTATTCTAAAGGACTAGCCTCACAGAGTCCCTGAATTACAGAGTCCTCTCTGTACAGTATTTTTGGAAATCCCAGTTTGGGTTTCTCCACTTCTGTCTGCCTTTCAGCTCCAGAGCACTTACGTAACATCATTCAGTTGTACATGTTGTCTGATCCAGAGAGTGAGCTTTAACTGCTCTCACAGGACTGTGTGCTCCAAATTTTGGCCATGTGAGTTCAGCATGGAGCTGCCAAGGGTGAAGTGACAGCACCAAACACCACCACCTCCAATGCCTAGGCCAGTTTCTTCTAGACTCTCCTGTCAGTAGAGTCAAGAGAAACTGGCCACGTGCAGAGTGCTCTAAGGAAGCACAGGCCCAGGTTCTCTCGGGTGAAGGAATACATGTGCCTGACCCAGTGAGCATTTGCTCAGTAGCAGCACTGCTCCATGTTCCTTTCGTGTTATACAGAGCTGTCACTTGGCAGGCCTCAAAGATGTTGCCACAGTGGTGGCTTGCCTTTCTCCAACTGCCTGAAAGCCCTCCTTCCGTCTCCTGCCTATTCCCTCCTGTGGGGCCGTCCTAAGCCCTTCCTTCCTGGAGGATCCCTGCAGGGCTTGACTCAGGGGGGATGTTGGAAGTAACAGAGCATTTCTAGAGGGCCAGAGAGGAGGCAGAAACCAGGATCTCCAAGAAAATTTAGTAGTGACAAATTAGAGGCAAGAAAGACAACTTGTAAACAGAACCTAGAAATAAAATTCAGTTTCCTAGAGCAGTGCTTCTGAAACTTTAATGTAGAAATGAATTACCAGGGAATCTTGCTAAAATGCAGATTCTGATTCAGGAGGTCTGGGATGGAGCCTGAGATCCAACATTTTTACAAGCTCCTGGGTGGCTGATTCACAGCCAGTGTTGAGGAGACCACACTGAGAGGAGCAAAGATCTGGCAGCACAGGTATTGGCCTTTGAGTTGGGCTGTGGTGCTTCCTAATGGCTGAGCCCTGGGCAGCACAGCCTCAGCGCTCAGGCAATGTTGTTGAGAGACAGTGAACCTGGTGGTTAAGAACAAACACACTGAGCCAGACAGATTATCTGGGTTTGAATTCTGGCCACTTATTAAAAATATAATATTGGGCAAGTTTTACTTACTCTCCGTGCTTCAGTTTCTTCATCTGTAAAATGGGGATGATACTAGTACCTACTTCATACAGCTGTTTGAGAATTAAATGAAGTAATATAGGTAAAACAATAGAATAGTGCCTGTTCATTAAACGTTAATTGTTATCATTATAAATATTTAGTTGCTGCATTCATAGTTGGCCTTCTGCTTTCTGCCTCAAGTATAGACATCTTTTGTCAAAGAAGGAAAGGGTTCTCATAGGGTTATCTCTACTTTAGAGATGCTGCAAGGAATCTCTTGTGATAAATGAGGTCTAAAAATGAAGTTCTATAAAAGGCAGGTTGCTACATGTTCTGGAACCTTGATTTCATGTGCATTTCAACATTATTTATAATTTCAAGTCAAAGTCCTGTGCAGCTTGGGGGACTGTGAAGGACAAAGCCCCCAGAGTGCATGTCAGGGACCTTCCTGGGAACCACAGATGGAAGACCCTCTGTCCTAGGGTTGTGAAATTTAAATCCCCACAGTTTGGGCCGGCCTGTGGCTCACTCGGTAGAGTGCGGTGCTGATAACACCAAGGCCCTGGGTTCGGATCCCATATAGTGATGGCCGGTTTGCTCACTGGGTGAGCGTGGTGCTGACAACACCAAGTCAAGGGATAGGATCCCCTTACCGGTCATCTTTCAAGAAAAAAAAAAAAAAGATAAATCCCCACAGTTTACTCTAGACATTCTACCAGCAGGGCCCAGGTTTCAGGTGATGTGAGACTATTTGCATGGGTCTCTCTCATTTTCCTTCTGGTAGCAGTGATAAACTCTGGAGGAGGCCAACGCAAGTGCGTCACTCACAGCTCAGCATTTCTTTTCAGAGGGTGTCAGGTTATCAAAAATAAACTCTCAGAGGCAGAGCTTTTGGTTTGCGTAAAGCAACATTCAACCTGCTAGAGTATCCTATCCCAAGCCTTAGGAGAATCTCCTACCTGCTCTTTAGCTAGTGCAATGCCCAGCCCATGCTGGAATGTGGGTCTGTGGCCTCAGCAGTGGGAGTGTGTTGTGTTGTGTACATCAGAGGCAGCATGGGGGCTGGTTCTAGTTGGCACCTGGGAACATGCTGCATCTGTAAGCCTCCAGTAGTCAGGGAATGTGATGTGCTACAGAGGAGGCCCAGGGTTTCACTGTGCTGAAAATAAAATCCGGTGATTCCTATTGTTGACGGAGATGAAGGTGCTAGGGATGAGGGGAAGATGTCAAGGGGTAGATAGCAGGCACCTTGGAGGGATCTATGACATATGCAGGCTGACCCGTCAGGGCTTGGTTCTTGAGGAAGAATGTAAGTGGATTACTTGCAGCCAGCCTTGTGTTTGTCAGAGACAGGTATTCCAAACTCATGAGGTCCTGCAGAACCTCAGCCCCAGAACAGTGTTGGCATGCTACTAGAAGGCATTAGAAATGGGAAGAAAACATGGGTTTCAGACTCTGAACGATCTAGGTTCCTATCCCAGCTTTGTCACTTAATAGCTATGATCTTAGGCAAACTAATTAACCTCTCAATATCTCAGTTTTCTCGTCTATAAAATGAGGATGGTAATATTTCCCTACAAAATGTGTTGAGAGAATTAAATGAGAAAATGCACTTAAAAAGCATGACGATTCATAATTACATTGGTAACCTTGGTTGCCTCTGGGGAAGAAAGCCGAAGAGGCCACTTTTTACTGTGTACTCTTTTGTCACTGGAATTTTGAACCACATGAATAGTTATCTGTTTAAAATGTTAATTTAATTTAAAAATAAAACAGTGAAGGCACCCATCAAATATTAATTTCCTCTCCCTTCCCCCTGGTGATCCAGTTCTCCTGCTGGAGGTCAGATGTAGCCCCACCACTCCCACCCCTCCTGCTAGCATGTGAAAATATCTATCAAGAAGTACCCTTTTGGGCTGGCCGGTTAGCATGGTTAGTTCTTAGAGCACAGTGTTGTAACAACAAAGTCAAGTGTTAGGATCCCCATACCATCCAGCCACAAAAAAAAAAAAAAAAAAAAAATCCCTACCTTCTAAATCCTTCTCCTTCTTGGAATGATAATCTGGTCGCTAGAGGTCTGGAGAGGCCAGGAGAGTGAGCCATCTGCCAAGCAAAGCTCTGGGGTCTGGGGACCCAGCCCAGGCTGTGGAGGATATGGCAGTAGAAATACATGCAGCCTAATTAGCGTGAAGCAGAAAGGCAGGAGTGTTGTCAGACCATGGTAGGTAGGATTTTCCAGAGCTGTGGTAGTCTTCTCCCTCTGTTAATAGGACCTTATTGCTTCCATACCACAGAATTGCATGTGTTTTTCAGATGACTTTCTCCTGTTCTCCCATTTAAGTCTCACAACAACCTTGTGCTGGGTGGATATTTACATATAGCCAAGAGGCTGAGAGGGAATAAGTGGCTTGCCGCTGATCCCACAGAAACACATGTGGAACAGCTCACATTTATCCTGTGATTTCTACATGCCAGGCACTGTGCTAAGTGTTTTTCATGTATTATTTGGTTTTCTTTTGGGTGGGGGGGCAGCTGGCCAGTAAGGGGATCCAAACCTGTGACCTTTGTATTATAAGGCTGTTCTCTAATCAACTGAGCTAAACGGCCAGCCCCCTGGTTTTCTTTTCTTAGCAATTCTATGAGATAGGTACTAACGTCAATTCTACATTACAGATGAGAAAACAGGCTGAAGAGATTATTACTGCCTAAAGTCACATGGCTAGTGAGTGGCAAGGCCAGGGTTTCAACCAAGGCTGCGCTGATCCTCTGCCATATCACTCCTGGGCTCCAACGAGGTTTCTCCAGTCCTGGGGCATAAACAGTGGACCACTTCCTCCTTGCTTTGCTAGGAAAAGAGAGCTACTCTTTATTACTCTTTATTATGTTATCGCTAACCAGGCCCGTGTGGACTCTGCAGGTTCCTACTTCAGTCTCTGGAAGATTTGGACACAAGTTTAAGGAAACTGAACTCCCGCCTGTTTGTAGTCAGGGGACAGCCCGCTGACGTGTTCCCAAGGCTGTTCAAGGTAAGTGTGTAGGGCCCCAGAGTAGACAGTAAAATTCTGTTCCCTAGGGTTTCCCCACCAATTGAATGAAATGACATTCTGACTGAGGAAATGGGAATGGCAGGGCTGGTCTGGCCATTGCTGCTAGAGAAACAAAGACAGCTGGTCAGCTTGCCGATGAAATGGAAACTTAAGGAAAAAATTCTGTGAAACCAGTGCCTTGTTGGAAAGTTCCCAGCTCAGTCCAGACATAAGAGGTGGTAAGTCATTCCACCCCAGATGCCAGTGGCTTCCTTAGATGTTTCCTTGGCTCAAGCCAGCAAGATTTATTGGGGCTCTTTCTACACCAGGAATTTGAGGGTTGGGTTTCATGGCTAGCAAGGAGCATTTCCCAGCTTGCTTTGTTCTCCTTATTGGGGAAAAAACTCAACCTTTCTGAGGCTGTTTCTCCTGGGTAAATGATTAATAAAATCTTCATTTGAGCACCACATAGGCCTCTGTTTGCCATATCACGTGGCCAGCCCACTTTCCCCCAGCCCCTTTAAAAAGAATGTTTTATGGCCCAAATAGAGGCCAAAGTACTCACAGACAGGGCTATAGGACAGATTTAGCAGCACACAGTAGTTTTTATTTTATTTTCAGCAGCACATGATGGTTTCTATGCCCCCCTTCACCCCAACTCCAAGACAGGAGGAAAACTCTCATGTCAAGGCAGACAGCTTAGTAGATACGTCATCATTCAGTTCCCCTCCCTGCACCATCCCCCACATAATTACACACACATGTACAAATCACACAGTACCAGTAATTGCTAACATTCGTTGACTGTTGACGGTGAGTCAAGAACTGCTCCAAGTGCTTATGAGCATTAACTCATTTATTCCTCACAGCAGCCCTAAGAGGCAGGTAGTGCTAGCCCAACTTTACAGGTAAGGGAACAATAATTTGCCCATGGTCATGAAGCTGATAAGTGGTGGTCTTGATTTCCAGATCTGTGTCCTCACCCATTATATCGCATTTGCCTCCCTCCACACTGCCCCCTCTCTTCCCCAGCAACTCAGAGGCCAACCCAGTTATAGCCCAGAGATATAGATACAGTTTTCCCCTGGTATCCATGGGGGATTGGTCTCAGGACCTCCCATGGATACCAAAACCCACAGATGCTCAAGTCCCCAGTATAAAATGGCATAGAATTTGCATATAACCTATGTACATGCTCTTGGATATTTTAAGTGATCTCTAGATTACTTATAATACCTAATACAATGTAAAGGCGATGTAAATAGTTGTTTTACTGTATTGTTTAGGGAATAATGACAAGAAAAAGTCTACATGTTCAATACAGACGCAATTTTTTTTCCAAACATTTTTAATCCACCATTGGTAGAATCCACAGATGCAGAACCCGTGGATATGGAGAGCCGACTGTAGATTATTTACATAGTCATTCAGTGTATATGTATTTAGTGAGCTTCTACTATGTACTAGCCCTACACTTAGCATTAGGGTAATAATGATGAATGAAACAGCATGGTTTCTGCCCTGAGAGTTCATACTCTAATGGGGGAGACAGGCAAGTAATGGGCAACCTCACTGCCATCTGATAAATGCTGTGATGGCAAAAGGACAAGGTTCAGGAGAATCATATTGAAGGAGGGGGGTCCCCAGGAAGGCTTCTTAGAGAAGGTGTCATTTAATAATAATGTTATTATTATTCACAGTGTTATTATGAGTATTTAATGATGTAATCTATATGAACTGCTAAGCCTAAGTCCTGGCTTACAGTAGGGGCTCAATAAATATTCAGTGCTATTATCCTTGGAGTTATAACCCATTCTGCTAAGGATCTACCCCCCAGGCAGGATGATTTGGGACCAGACTAGCTTGTGTATGGCCACGACATTTGCCCCAGGAATTCAGAGCTTTAAGGGACCATGACCAGAGACTTTGGTTAGGATGTATTTTTCTTCTTGCTAGTTCCATGCTCTAGGGCTTTCTGTGGGTTGTCTGTACAACCTTTTATTGGGCCAGCTTTCTCCTGGTATTGCTAGGAGATCTAGAAATTCCTACTAGAAAGGACTAAATACTTAGAAAAGAATTCCCTTCTTTTCAACACGTGGCCCCTCTGGTCTATTTGCTCTGACCTCTGGACTAAGGATTGCTCCTCCTTCCCCAACTCTGAGAGCTGGAACCTATTAGCTCTGTTTGCTACTGGCCTCAGGAGTGTTGCTATGGAAACCATTAAGACACTTCACATAGCACAAGTCTGCCAAGAAAACTAGGCCACAAGTTTGCAGGGCTGGGAGGAACCCTGGGAAAAGCTTGCCAAACAGGCAACAGGTGGCAATCCCGTCTCCCGCTATCTCCCCCACTGAGGCAGTGCCTATTTCTGGGCCTGGGGGGGTCCTCTGGGAGCATTATATTTGCAGCCTCCTGCTGCATTCTGCTACCTCAAGGACACAGCAAGTACACTGGGCTCCCCCTCTCTCCTGACTGTACTGGTGCTGGGCTGTTGGCCTCACCTCACTGGCCTGCCCTCCTCAAACTTCTGCCCTCAGATTGTTTGCTTTCCACTTCAAATCACTGTTCCTAGTTTCTTCTGCTGCCCATTCGGACAGGTCTCTAGACTAGCTCTGTCACCTTCCAGGAAGGAACCCAGCTTCTCCTCTTCCCCGATCACAGTGGTGAGCATAACAGTTTCTCTCCCCACAGGAATGGGGGGTAACCCGCCTGACCTTTGAATATGACTCCGAACCCTTTGGGAAAGAACGGGATGCAGCCATCATGAAGATGGCCAAAGAGGCTGGCGTGGAGGTGGTGACTGAGAATTCTCATACCCTCTATGACCTGGACAGGTAAGAGATGGGTCCCAGGGATCAGGTTGCCAATGATGAGGGTTAGTGATTTGGACCCTGGCTGAATAGAACTCAGGGAAGTTCAGCAATAGGGTCACCTGGCTCATAAGGTATGGCATTTTCTGGAAGCTGGAGGAGAACGAGCCAGGGTTAGGGCCTGTAGAACAGGTCCCAAGGAGCTTTACCCAATTTGGATGGCAAAGAGGCTTATAGGCCCAAGGCATGGAAGTAGTGAGGATCCCCACTCAGGATCTTCATAGATCTTCTCCTGATATACACCAGCCCCATCTGTGCCTCCTGTCCCTTTTCAATCCTGCTCCTCCACGGCTGTCCTCTGACTTCAGTGGACCCTGCCTATTACCTCTCCCAACAGACCTCTGTTCTCATAGGCCCAGCTTCTGTACCTAAGATAAGTTCCCTGGGCTCCCCTGGCTATCTGGGTTTCCAGGCCATGCATTTCCATGTTGCTCGGGGCTGGGGGGGGCTCTAGAGATCCCTGCAGGGAGGTGAAAACTGCAGAGGAACCTCCTCCCCTGGAGACAGGCCTCTGTGCTCCAGAGAGTCTAGGAGGAAACTCTCTCCTCCCCTTCCCTCCCAGCGCTGTCACCTTTCTGCTGTTGCTGCTGCCGCTGCCAAGCCAGCAGTCACCACTGCTCCACAACCCCCTCTCCCTCCCCAACCCAGTGCTGGCTGCCAGAAAGCCGGGTCACACAGCTGTGCATGTGAGCCGGGCCCTCAGGAGGAGAGGCTGGGTGTGCAGTGCCTCCTCCTGCCACGTGCCAGAGAAGGAGGGAGGGATTCCAGAGGCAGCAGCCAACCTCATATCTGTGCTAATGGAAGGAGAGTGAGAGAGAACAAACCAGGACATGACCTCACCCAGGCAGCGGAGTGTTGTATAAGCTCCTTCTTGGCCAAAAGGAGCCCCAGGAATCAGGCTCCAAATCCTACCAATTCATCCTGATGTAAACAGCTTCAATTCTCTTCTTCAACCTCCTGTATCTTTTCTTCTTGTGTGAGTGCAGTCATGTTTCCCCTGCTCATAAAGAATACTTTGTAAATTGCAAAACATTCTATAAGTGTTAGTTGTTGGCTAACTCCTGCCCCAGTCTTCTATTTAGGGAGGATAGGCTGTCTCTACCTCTGTTCTAGTAAATGAGGGCTAAAAAGGGGATGACTTTCCAAGTAAGAAACATGTTTGCAGCTCTCATCAAAGAACTTCCTCCAAGGCTCATCCTGGGGTAGAGAGGAAGGCCCGCAGGGATTCCAAGAAGTGCCAAGGCAGCTGGTGAGGATTTTTCTGTGATTAGTGAGATATGGTCAGTCTTTGTCTTTAGGCGGCTCCACGTGAACACCAGGGAACCTGGAATTGAGTCCCAGCTTTGGCCCTGCCTTGCTGCATTACCTGAGGCACCTGCTCCAGCTCTCTGGGCTTCATTTTCCCTCTCGGTAAAATGGAGATGCAGCCTCCCTTGCCCCCTCCTTTCCACTCAGGGGTGGGACCTGTGAGCAGATGAGGAAAGCCACTCTCAAAGCCTTCAGAGTCTGGGCTATCTCTTGGGTGGGAAGGGATCCAAAACAAAGGACCCTGCTAGTGACGCTAGGTGTGCTTTGGGCTCCCCAGGATCATTGAGCTGAATGGGCAGAAGCCACCTCTTACCTACAAGCGCTTTCAGGCCATCATCAGCCGCATGGAGCTGCCCAAAAAGCCAGTGGGCTTGATGACCTGCCAGCAGATGGACAGCTGCAGGGCCGAGATCCAGGAGAACCATGATGAAACCTACGGCGTGCCCTCCCTGGAGGAGCTGGGTACGTACTTCCTGCCCAAAGCCTCTTACACTGGCACTTCCTTTTGTGTAAAGTAATTTATTGGGTTTTTTCTCTTTGTCAAAAAAAAGCATGCTATTATAGAAAATTTAGAAAATACAGAGGTGGAAATAACAATCACTATTACTCCACCACCCAGAGATAACCACTATTAATTTTGGAGTATGTCCTTCCAGTCTCTTTTCCATTCATACTTATACGCGTAATCTTCTGTTTCTAGTTCTTGCCTCTGTTTTTGCGCTTTCCTCTCTCAGACAATATAGGCATTGCCTGGTGCTGGCATCAGTGGGCTTCTCAATACCAGGATAACTAATAGTGCTTCTATTGCATGCAGGTCTGTCAGCCCTTCAGGTTACTGACTACACCCTTCTTCCTCCCCTTCCCTCCCCCCCCCCATCTTTTGATCTGAGCAAAGTTATTAGCCCTTCTTACCTGAAAACCACAGTTGTTGCCAGCTATTCTGAAAGGGTGAGAGGTCCATGATTTTTATCACCTGCCTGGAATGATGAGGGGCTGGGAAGGGAAGGCAAGGGAAAGGAGAGAAAACAGTGGCAGTGGGAAGAGAACCAGGATGACCTAGTAAACACTAAAACTTTAAGGATTATCTCAGCTCCAATAGCACCAAGACCACTGTGATCAGTTCTCACAGAATTCAAAGAACAGACTAAGGTGTTCAGACTTGCTGAGTTCTCACTGAAATGGCCTGACCTCCAGTCCTGTGACCCATTCCTCCTCTTGTAGGGTTCCCCACCGAAGGACTTGGCCCATCTGTCTGGCAAGGAGGAGAGACAGAAGCTCTGGCCCGCCTGGATAAGCACTTGGAACGGAAGGTATGGGCTCTGTTTCTGAGCCACAGAACTGCAGATGCTGATACCCATGCAGCAGGGATACAGGTTAGGTTCACATCCCTTAATGCCTTCTTAGCTAACACTGGTTTAAAAATGAAAAATCCTCCTGATGGCAATAATAGCAACAGCAGCAGCACCATTTGGAGAATACTTACCCGTGTGCCGGTAACTGGGCTGAGCATTTCTGGTTTAAGCACCTGCTTGTGTTATTTCCTTTAATCTTTCCAACAGCCGTACAATGTAGGTATTAAGCTCTCCATTTTATAGTTTAGGAAGTTGAGGTTTAGAGAGGCTAATAATGTAACTTGCCTGAGGTCACATAGTAAGTTGTAGAGTGAGACCTTGTTCTTTGTGATTCTAAAGCTTAGCTACATTGCTTTTCTTTCATCCGTGGGGAGGTTCCCCTTACTAAGAGGGTATTTGGTCAGTTAAGACCATAAGATTAATTATTTCGAGTTTATGTCCTCCAACCTTTTGCTGGGTCTCCTCCAGGGCACTGATTTCCATTTGTTTGGGCACAGAGAGAAAATGGCCCAGCTCCCAGTGCAGTGGGAATTGGTAAGGGGAAGGAAAGAGGCCAAGACCCCAGAGCACTCCTCAACAGTGTCACATGGCCCTTGCTACCCTGCTTGCTAGAGGAGCAGAGAAGGTTCTCATGACTGAGGACAGTTGGCTTCTCATTTCCTGCCCCCTACAGCTGGCTTATAGACTGAGTCCTTAAAATCACAACTTTTTCTGTTCCTGTTCCCATGGCTAGGCATTTTGCACAGCAGCAAGATAACAGTGGGACAAGAAGGCCAAGGTAGGCCTACGTGGGAAGGTTGTTTTCCCAGTCCTGGAGGTGCCTAGCCAGGAGTGGAGGCCCAGCAACTTTGATTTTCCCATCTGGGTGCTACCATCAGCTGGGGACAGAAGCAAGCCCCACAGACTCGAAAGAATGATGCTTGATGTGTAAGGGCTATGAGGGACCAGCAGTCTCTGTCTACACTGGGAGATTTAACTAGAGATTCTTGGGCTCACTTTGGAGAAAATGGCTAGGCCAAGGAGCCAAAGGATAGAGATGACAAATGGGATAGTAGGAGTAGAATAAGACTTAAAAATGTAAAGCATTAACGTATGGCTCCATGATTTAGAGTTTTTATCACCTTAAAAGCATTTTGTAGCAGAATGCCACTTAGATCACCAAGTCAGGAGCTCCTTTCCCACACACTCCTGGAGGGCCCTCTATCAAGGGTCCTTCTGTCGTGAACCCATTCAAGACTCAGTGGTGGCCAGAGGAAATAATGTATTGTACACATCTGGGAGAACAGAAGGTGCCTGATGAACAGGAGTTGAACCTGACTTCAAGAGGTTTTTTTTTTGTTTTTTTCCTTTTTGTCTTTTTTCGTGACCGGCAACGGATCGCAACCCTCAGTGTCGCGCCCGTACTGGACCGGGACCGGCAACAGGAGCGCAACCCTCGGTGTTGCGCCTGCACCTCGCTCAGCCAGTGAGCAGCCGGTCTGCATGTGGGATCTGAACCCTCGGCGGGAGCGCCGCCACGCTCCCAAGTGGCGCACTACGCCGCGAGTGCGCCACCGGGCCGGCCCCCACAAATTCTTTTTTTAACCAAAGTTTTCTTTTCATTTAAAAATAAAATAATTTAACAGTGCGCCTCTTGGGAGCGTGGCGGTGCTCCCGCCGAGGGTTCGGATCCCACATACAGACCAGCCGCCCACTGG